TTTTCCCTTCTCCCTCTCCCTTTTTTTTTTTTTTTTTTTTTTTTTTTTTTTTCTCCAAAAGAAGAGCAGAAGCAGCAGAGGGCCAGTTTTAGGACCCTTCGGTGGCCCTGCTCCTGGTGGGCAGACCAGGGACCCCAGACCTGGCCCACAGAACAGTGGCCCAGGTCGGGGCAGGGAGCTGAAAGCCCCCAAACCCAACACGGGACAGGGCGGTGGCCCCGGCCCAGGGAAATGGGCCAAACGACCCAGAACCAGCCCGTGAGGCGGGCTCTGTGTGCTCACAACCTGGCAGGACCATGCTGCCAGTGTCTTCAGAGCAGAAGTGACCAAATGCTTCCTCCCCCTAGAAGCACCGGTGCACACCGGCAGCTGGGGAAGAGAAGCTTTCTCAGAAATTTTCATCGCAGATCTGGGGGGTTCTTGTCCCCAGAGCAAGCGAGCAATGCTTGCTTTGCACTGTTTCTCTCTCCCCTGCAAGGCAAACGCCACTGCTCCCGCTTTCTGCCCCTCGACACCACCCCCATTCCTTCTGGGCTGGGGACCAGAGGCAGAATTTCCAGGAGCCAACTCGCCCACGCCGCTGCGGCGCACGGGGGAAGGCAGGCACCCCAGACCCGAGGGAGAAGCCCCCGACCACACGCGAAATGACCCGAAAAACACGCTGAGTTTGAAAGCAGGCAGCCGAGCTGCTCCCGCAGTCAGCTGGAGAGCCATGCCCCCTCCACGGAAGGACAGGCTGTCCGCAGGGTCTGATGCAAAGGAAGGAGCTCCAGAAGCCGTCGGGACAGCTGGGGCGGTGCCGGCGGCACGGGCGCTGGGACCGGCTCCTGAGACGGTCCTGCAGGCTCAGCACCATTCTCGGCATGCTCTTGCACTGCAGTCGTGTTGGCAGGGAGCAGCGGGACAGGCGGAGGGGGGGCGACATGGCTGCAGGCTGCATCCTCAGGCGGGCAGACAGCCGCGGAGACACGGCCCCTCTCTGGGACAGGCTCTTGTTCATCGCCGCTGCAGTCAATCGAGTTGCCTGGCAACACGGGCGGATCCACGGGAGGCGGTGCTGCCGCGCTCGGGACACCGGAAGCAGGAGCGAAGCAGGAGCAAGAGCAAAGCAAAGCAGCAAAAAGCAAAGCCAAAAGCAAAAGCCGCACTATGTACTGTCCCGTCTCTCTGTCCCGCCAGCCGTGGGGGAGCAGGCTGATAACAAACCAAAACAAACCTTGCTCTTCAGAGCCAGTCATGAAGGCACAGTACATAACATCCCGCACCAACAGAACACACGATTGAGGATACAAGTATCATAACCTCACCCTAGGACAGGGTACATTTATATCATAATACAGGGTTCACGCGACACGGGGACACATCCAATTGGTTAACAAAGCACTGTGCATAAAACAAAGAGTATTTCTTAACATATCTTGGTCACGTAGCTTAGCTTGGCATCATTATCAGAACATCTTGCTGCTGATATTCTTCTCACATCCTCAGACCATCCTTTTTTCCTTGGGTACAGCTGGGAAACTTTCCCAAGGGCAGTATTCTCTTCTGCTAGCAGGCATGTACACAGAGTGTCAGCAAGCATGCCTCTAAATTCACAGAATGTTTTTTGTTTGCCTACAGGGTGGTGCACATAGGCTACAATGTCTGCCCAAAATGCTCTCTAACAGTGACCTCATTGCAGCCTTCCAGTACCTGAAGGGAGCCTACAAGAAAGATGGACAGAGACCATTTACAAGAGCATGTAGTGACAGGACAAGGGGGAAAGGTTTAGAATAGATATTATGAAGAGGGTGTTGAGGCACTGGCGCAGGTTGCCCATAGGAGTTGCGGATGCCCCCTCCCTGAAAGTGTTCAAGGCCAGGATAGATGAAGCTCTGAGAAATGTGGTCTAGTGGAATTTGTACCCTGCCCATGGCAGGGGGTTGGAACTTGATGATTTTTAAGGTCTTCTCCAACTCAAGCCCGTCTATGATCCTATGATTCTTTCCACTGGCAGAACCTGTACATTCCCAGTCATTCTGGTTCAGGTGTGTGACTGGCCTCCTATGAAATTACCAGAATCGGGTTGGCTCAAGATCACACAGAAAACCAAAATGGATTGAAAACACTCAAGAATAAGGTTGTCTTCTTTCTCTATCTTGTACTCTTGTCTTCTAAAGAGCAGTAACAGCCTTTAATCTATTATGGAATTAACATCTACCCTATGAGGTTTGTACTGTAGAAGAGGATGTTTCACTACAGTACTGTACACTTATTTATCAGTCATAATAATAGGTGCCCTGTGTGCACCTGCTAAGATAAAAGCTTAAGCTAGTTCTTACTTTTTTTTAATTTTTTTTTTTATTATTTTTTTAGATCTTTTTAAGGATTCTCCTGGAGCTTGAGGAACCAGCTGCAAATCACGATGATGGGCAGCTGCTTTTGGTATGGATGGCTATATGTATATATTCACAAGGGATGGAGGGAAAGCTGGAGACCCTTTTGGAAAATTTGGGAATGCTCAGAACAAGTAAGTAGGAGGGCAGGTGAAAGCTTTGAGCTTGTTCACTGAGGTACAAGGTTTGGAAAGGAGAAAATGTGGAAGAATAGAGTAAGAGTGCTTCCGGAAAATGCTCGTGCATCTGCAAGTCTGTCCAAAGCAGTATTTCAAAAATGAAAATTTGACATGTTTAAAGTCAAGTTGTTTAGAGAAAAGAGAGTTTTCTGGCTTAAGTGGGTTACAAGACATACCAGCCTCTGGTTTATTTCTTTTAGGCAGATAACTTTTCCTTTGAAAATGGGCAAGGAGAAGAAGGGAATTTTTGTGTTTTCAGATGGCTATCATGCTGTGGTTTCTTTTTCTGCCTTCTCTTTAGGAGCACTTTGTTGGGGAAAGTGTTGAGGAGTGATGTGGATGGAAGAAGCCCTGATGGAAAGCATTACTGCATCCCTCCTGATAATGCATTTGTGTCTGATCCCAAAACCTGCCTGGAGGTTTATTCCTATGGGGTCAGGAATATGTGGTGCTGTGCAGTGGACAGAGGGGACCCTGTCACAAAAAAAGGAAGAGGGAGGATATTCTGTGGGGATGTCAGGTAGAACAGGTTTGAGGAAATTGACCTAATTGTTAAAGGTGGGAACTATGGCTGGAGAGCAAAGGAGGGGCTTGAATGCTATGACATCTTGTATTTGCAGGGTTCCTAGATGAATGAAGGAATGATGAATCTGACTCCATGTTCTTAGAAGACTAATTTATTATTTTATTATATTATATTATATTATATGAAAGAATACTAAACTAAAATTATACTAAACTATACTAAAGAATACAGAAAGGATACAGACAGAAGGCTAAAAGAATACTAATGAAAAACTCGTGACTCTCTCCAGAGCCTTGACACAGCTGGCCGTAATTGGCCAATAAGTAAAAACAATTCACATGCAATGAAACAATCACCTGTTGGTAAACAATATCCAAACCACATTCCAAAGCAGCAAAAACACAGCAGAAGCAAGTCAGATAATTATTGTTTTCATTTTTCTCTGAGGCTTCTCAGCTTCCAAGGAGAGAAATCCTGGTGAAGGGATTTTTCCAGAAAATATGATGGTGACAACACCACAAAGGTTTGCCACAACCCCTCCATGGATAAGGAAAAACTTTATTGTAGAAGATTACTATATGTGTATATTTGGTGGACTATAGCACTGTTTTTCCAGTGAAGCTAAATAATCCAGTATTATATATTAAATGAAATTTGTCTGCTTTTTAAGATCAGAAATCCCTTCTCCCCAGCCCTGCTGTGTTGCTGTGGAATGATGTTCGGCTTATCCAGGGACATACCATATCCTGCCACACACTGTACCGGACAAGGTGTTTAAAATTCAAAGCCTATGTCTTTTGTGGACAATTTTCCCAGTAAAGCCAGGAGGACAATGGATTTGATTTAAGTAAAAAGTGATACTGTGTTTTCTCCAGAAGCTCTGAGCCATGACTGTGGCTAAGGACAGAGGACAAGACTGATGCTGAGACCCTGAAACAAACCCTATGGCAGATGTAGTGTGTCCCAGCCAGCAAAGTGCTGCAGCAGAATTCCCAAAAGCTGTGCTCTGTGTCTGACTGTGGGTGTGATGGACAAAATTCACTTGCTGCCTTTGAAAAACAGAAATTGGTGGTGTTTGCAAAGCTCTTGGCAAAAGCATGGTAGAAGAACTGAGTATTATTATAAAGTTCCTTCAGCTGTTGGGTGAAGACACCTGGTCTCAAGGTCATGCAGATGTTCCTGGAACATTTGGATGAGCAGACAAGCGTGGAGTATGTATTACTGACATTAATGCAGGGAAAAAAGTGAGGACAAGAATAAAATTCTGTGGAATCTGGTAATTCAATATAAGAAAGGGCTGAATTCAATTTTAACATTGCCAGAGGCAGAGTTTTTATTTCACAAGTCTCATGACATAAAATGGTGAGAGTACACTCATTTATGCTCTGTGTTGTGTCAGTGAACCCATGAAGCTGTTGAGCTCACTTGCGGTTTTGATCTTTTTCCCTTCTCTAAAAATACTGGAATTGGTAAAGATGACCCCTTGCAGTATTGCATTTTATTTAAATGGTATGCTCTGTCTCACCCCTCTGAAATGTATGGTATATTCTAAGCCTGTGGTCCTGCCCTGAACCATCATGTATCTATAATCCCATTGGCCCAAGTCTGATTCCGCGCCCACTTCAATCTCCCTCTTAAACTGTGCCAGCGTAATCAGTCACCCTCTTAGCCTTTCCCCACTCTTTGCCCTTCTCCCCCCGCCCTTGCCCCTTCCCTCCCCTAGGCACCCTCTCCTTCCCCCTCCCTCTTCTCCCTTTCTCCCTCAGTAACCATGCTGTTCCCGGGGATGGGACCCTCAATAAACTCTCATCAATCAGCACCCTCAGAAGCCGTGTGGGGTCTCCTTGCCTGCCTGCTGCTGCCAGACAACTCACAGCCTAGGGGGCCCTCCAGGGACAGCCCGGGGTACCCCCCACTTCAAAATTAACCACAACAATCCCTGCTAAAGTCATTGGTACAGTCACATATAAGTAAGATAACACTTGCTGTAGGCTGATGCCTTCCTGCATTGCTTCTTGGTGTAGAGAATCTTGTTTTTTTTCTTATGGAAGCTCATCATGACTAAGCCTTGATAAGCAACTACACAGAGATGTCCGTAAAGCCCCTGGGTTACTTCTGTCCCAGAGTAAACTGCTGAATTACCACTGAAATTTCACTAACGTTAAACTGTATTGGTCCTTCTAGTAATTTTTGTACCTGTCAGTGTCATTGAGCAACTGCTTTTTGATGCTCTCTGAAAGTAAACTTTCTTACTTTGTATTTCTGTGTGTTTGACAGATGACATTCTGCCAATATTTACATATGGCCACAGTGTGGGCAAGTCAGTTACTGGAGGCTTTGTCCACAGGGGATGTGAATCACCCAACTTGAATGGCCTTTATATTTTTGGTGATTTCATGAGCGGGTGAGTCTGTTTCCTCTGCAGCTCCTATTCTGTACCCACATTCTCCATGTCTGGGCAAATAAGTATATTGGAGCATCCCAAAACCTTTTGGGCTGGAGTAGATGAGAAACTTGGATATAGAGTAAGTTCTGTGTTTGACTATTACAACAACATTTTTGCTGGAATCTAAACTTCCTCCATTTTAGAATCCTTAGTATAAGTTTGCTTTTGTTCAGGTCTGTTTCTCCAAAATCCAGCCAACAATCACAGTCTTCACTGACTGCTTTTTTTTTTGTTTCAGTAATGCATGATTTTGACAGGAACTAATTTTGATGATGGAGACATAAAACACAGGGTTTTATTTTTCGTGTAGTCGACTTATGGCTTTACAGGAAGGTGAGAAGACAAATAAGTGGAAGAAGCAGGATATCTGCATTGGCAGCACAACAGCTTGTGCTTTCCCTGGAATGATCAATTCCTAGAGCAAATTCATCATCTCGTTTGCTGAGGATGAAGCAGGTAGGTATCATGCTGGCCACACCTTCAATGGAAGCCATACAGTCTGTTCTCTACTGTAGGGAAAATGTGGAATATTCTGTGACTCCTGAGGGGTGCCTATAGAGCAGGCAGTGCAGAGAGGTTTGTGGCTGGCTCAGCATGGCAGGTGGGTCAGGGAGGTCTCCTGCCCTGTGAAGCTGTTGAAGATCAGGTTGATGGAGGGCTCAGGAAACTGAACCTTATGTGAAACTTTCCTTTTGTTGTTGGTCTTTTGTACTCTTTCACTAATCAAAAGACCATATCAATGCAGTTCACTTTTTCATTATACCATCTCACCCTCACTTCAGTTCTTAGAGCTTCTCTGAAATTCTCCTGCTTCCTTAGTATAAATTCCGCGGTCTTATTCACAACAATCCACAATTCACACTGTGGATCATAGACAAGGACTTTATTTGGGGATCAGGAAAGCCACTCATTTAAAAGTTTAGTGTAAAGGCCTCAGCACATGGGACACTACTAAGGTCCCAAGGACCAGATCTCTCACCAAGGTGGAAGTACCAATGAACACTGTTTGCTTTTCTACAGCCTCCTGACAGAGCTATGTAATACAAAAAGAAGCTGCAAGTTTTTGGAAAGCACAGGTGCATTTTAGCACTTGACCATTCAACAGAAAACAGATTTGCTTGCCAAGAAAAGATCCTAGATTGTCTGCTTAGCATATTCTGTCAGAGCTGCATGGAGATGCAGGCTTTGCTGTGAAATGTGTACAGTTTTTAATTGTTCTAACATGTGGAGTGAGTGAATGTGAAATGTCTCTTCTTCTGGTGGCCTTTTAGAAACCAACATGATACTATGTAGTTTGAAAGACAACAACAGCTTTGTCTCTTGCAAGATACTCTAATCTCCCTTTCCCCTGGATATTGTTCTAGTGAGTGCTGAAGGGAAGGCACAAGGAGCATTTGTCTTCCACAGTTACCAGACAGAAATGAGAATCTTCTGTCTCCCACAGATTCAGCCAGTGCTGAATTTTTTCCTTTATGGTATGATTATGAAATGGAAAATATATTTCTTGTGTGGTCTTTCCCTCTATTTGTAGTTTCTGGCTGCTTCTTTGGTACAAACAAGTTTTAAGAAATATATATATTTGTACAGAGGAAGGCAACCTTTTGAGAGCCACAGAGGTGAGGTAATGAAGGTGCTGCTTGAAAGAGTGCTGCTGATGTGTGTGGAACCCTGTTGCAGCCAGGAGGTCATTTGGTGTTTCTGGGAGCCCACTGGCACAGGGCAGGGTGAGAACAAAGCCATTTCTTGGACATAAGGCATGGCTGAGGGGGTAACGGGAAGAGTTTCCTTTTCTGACTGCATGAATTACTGAAAAACCAGGAAAGTGGGAAATGGAGAACTGGGATCCAGCTTGGGCACTTGAATCTATGACCAGTTTTCTTTTTTCACTTCCATTTAGGTGAACTGTATTTTATGTCTAGTTATTATCTCCGTGCCTATACACCATGTGGATTTCTCTACAGGCTCATTGATCCTGCAAGGTTTGTATTTAAAGATGAATTTCCATGCCAGATTCTTCTATAATCACCACTCTCCAGCTATCACAGTAAAAGAATGCCAAGTACTACTGATACAGTATCACTGACATCTACATCCAATTCTTGGGTTTTGTTTACACACTGCACCTCTGGTGCAACTTTAATCAGTTTGAGTGAATTTGTTCCTCATTCTTCATATCTGTGCACAGAGAAATAAGAAATCGAGTTCAAATTCCTTGAAGATCTGGGAGAGTTAAGGATTAAAAGAAAGTTTCCTTGGTTGCATATCTGAATTACAGCAAAGCAATGTCTTAAAAAGGACAGTCCATACCCTTTAGGTTCATTATCTTAAATAATAGATAATATAAATAATAAATAAATTTTATTTATTTATTATTTATATTAATATAAAGAATATTAATATAAATAAATAAATAGTACTCCACAGTTAATATAAATAATAAATAAATAGTATGTTAATATAAATAAGAAATTATTTATTTATAAATAATATGAATAATTATATTTATATAATTATTTATATAATATAAATATTATTATAAATAATTATATTTATATTATATAAATATAATATAAATATTATTATTTATAATAATATAAACTAATATTTATATTAATATAAATATTAATTTATATTAATAAATTACGTTAATAATAACGTTAATATAAATAATACATAAATAGTACTCCACAGTTTTCTTCACGAAGATGAGAGAAACCTGGTGGTTCATGCATTGCTCAAATAATAACTGGAGCCTGAACCTGAGTTTTTCCAAGCAAAATGTTTTTCCCCATCAAGCAGTTATCCCTACTAAAGTCTGTTTTTGCAAGAATAAGCACACTTAGGTTTTTTTTTTTTTTTTTGCCTCCCTAGCTTTCCCATTTTGCTAAAAAACATTAAATGAGTTTCAAATCACTCTGTAAAGTAGATAGAGTACAAATGTGTTTGTGCTTTTGCAGAGACCTTGGACATTCACAAACTGAAGAAAACAAGCAATGTTTTCTTGAGAAGTTAGATTCAAAGCTAGGTAGTTAAGTCAAACTATGTACCAAGGTGATGGGATTAGAACTTGAATATTTTACTGCTCGAGGAGATTTCTGCCTTTAACAGCTTATCATTTGCCAGAAAGTGCATTAACTGTGAGGGACCAAAATGTAACATTTTCAACTAAAATATATATATATATGTGTGTGTGTGTGTGTGTGTGTGTGTGATCTTGCATAAACATCAAGAGCTTGAGCAGAATCTATTTATCACAACAAATATATCTTTGCTGTCTGTATGCCACTCCTTAATGTGCCATGAAGACCCCGTGGTTTTGAAGCTTTGTGTCCGTCACTGCTAGAACAGGACCAGGCATATTACTGCACGGGTGACCCCCGATGAAGGGGAGAGAAAATGATGCATCTGACTCCATCATCAGAAGGCTAAAGAATTACTTTATTATTCTATACTATATACATTGCATCTAAAGTGAATCTGCCTTGCACTCACCCTTGCTCACAGCTTCACAGAACTGCACTCATCTTGATTCTCTCTTGTGACTGTCTGGTGACTGCAGACAGTCTCGGCACAGACGCGAGATAAGAATTATGTTTTTCCTCCTTCTCTGCTTGTCTCACAGCTTCTCTCTGTTCAGAGGGCATGTGAATACCACACAGGCACTTACTCCCCTGGCTCTTAAAATGTCTTCCTGCACTTTCCAGTTCCCCTTCTTTGCCTTAGCCCGGATGGGGCTGTGTCAGCTCTGCCCTCGTCTGTTTGCACTTTGCAAGCATGCCCAGGCTGTGCAGAGCTACTCGGAGCCTGAACAGGGTCTGGAGCACAGTCCTGACACATCCAGCTCCTGGAGTGACTCTGGTCTCCTCATGAACCTTTCTCCTTTGATTTTACTGCTGTTTATAGGATTTTTCCTGGGGGTAGCTGGGTTCTCTGCTGGGCACAGTCCCAGGCAGTGAATCCAGCATTCCCTAAATCCTAACCACGTGGCAGGAAGTGTGCTGGCATGGACAGCAATCCACACAAACTACTTCCAAAACATTGCCAGGGCCACTGTCATGTGCCTGATGGCAACTCAGATTTCCCGAGGAACCTGCCAGGAAAGCTAATGGTAGCAGTGCCGTTTATCCCAAGTTCGGCTTGCCTCTGGAGCAGTACTCTTGGAGACAGCAGGGTGGCACCAAATTCCTTTTGTGCTGAGCAGAGAGAAAACGAGTTAGAATGTAATTTTAAAATCAGAGAGATGAAGAGAAAAAAACCCCACAACCCACCAGAAATCCCCACAAGCAATACCTGCAACCCTGCTTTAGTAACCTTTTTCAAAAAATTGAAATGGTGTGGAGGAAGTGCTTGGCTCTTGCCTCTGTCTGAAGGAGAATGCTAATCACAAGAAAATATTATGCCTTAGGTCATGCTTTGCTTTGCTTGGTGCTGTCAAGCACGCCAAATTGGAAGAGCCTGCTCTTATTTGTCCTACAGCACTTCCCTTGGTAGGTAACAGAGAATACAGGTGTGTTGTGGTTCTTTGTACCTCTCTTCCTGTCACTTAATGTGCAACATTACCTCAGGGAAAATGTGTTCAGTTGGTTTTTGTTTTGGTGCTTTTATACTGTGGGAAGTTGTCAGGGGACAGAGGATAGGAACACAGACACATTTCTTTGCAGTTGTGGCTCCCTCCCTCTGTGCCTGTTGCTCTCCTTTGTCACCCCTCTTGCTGCAGGACTGTTGTATCCAAAGAAAATCCCAGTGAAGGTCACATTCACCAGCTGCTGTTGGGACAGGGATTTTATGGCTTGCCAGCTCTGTGTCAGCCTCTTGAATTCCACCTGTGCTGTACTCCAGGTGCCTGAAGTGCTTTCATGCCTCTTCCACCAGAGGCAAATGAGAACAGGGAATTGGTGTGTGCCTACAGAATAAATAAACTTCCCTAACAATCTCTCAGATGCCTGCATCTGCCTTTCTGTTTTCCAAGGAGAGCTCCAGCAGGGAAGTGCAAATACATGCCTGTTCCACTGAAAACAAAAAGCAAGCGAATACCATTTCTTCCATGAGCAAGTAAGTTGTTGGGCTTTGATTTTAATGAGAAGCAAAACATAAACTTACAGGCATGTGATTGAAACCTTCAGGAGTGTTTACAACTACAGTACTGAGCAGGAGAAATCCTGAAATTTGGTTATCTCATTTAATGTGATAATCAGACACAACTTCTGCTGTCTACCTGATGCTGTGCCTTTGCTTAACCCCAGTCCCTGATTTTTTTTTCTCCTAAGTTTTCAATCTTCCTTTTTCCAAGCAGCCTTCTGTCTTAAAGTCCCATGCAGCTGGGGCAGGAGTTACATCTTGAGTAGAAACCAGTGTTTATCAAGATGATATTATTTTTTCTGGGATTTCCAGGTATTAGTGTGTTATGAACAATTCATATTGTTAAGTCTACTAGAGAAGTGTGCAAGGTTCTATCACATTCTGTCTGGAAGTAATTTTCCTTAAATACAAATTCATAATTTCTAAAATCAGTCATTTTATTTCCAGGAAAAACAAGGGTCTTTTGATGGAAGAAGAGAGGTTTATAGTATGCATTTCTTCTTTCATAATTTCAGCTGTTTTTCTTGACTATAGGTCTAATAAGTGTTTCACTCAGTCATATCTCTGAATTAGCCTTTTGCCTTAAAGCAAAAAGGCTGAACCATGTTAATTACTTTCCTCAGAGACTATCCTTGAGCTTCTAAACGAATCTTCAACAACCATGCCTCCAAAAAAATCTTCTACCTTCACTGCAGCCACCCCAAGAGTTTCTTCTAAGAAAGCAAAAAAGACCCCATCCACCAAAATAAAAGCTTCAACAGCAAAACCAGCTCCATCTGGTAAAAAGGGACAGAAAGTCAAAGCTGAGGCGAAACCCCACAAGGGAAAGAAGACTGGACACAACTCCAGAACTGCACCAGCACCACCTTTGCCAAAAAAGAAGAGTTCCCACCTAGCCAGAATCAAGTAGGTTCTTCCAAAGAAGGCAGCACTAGCTAAGGGAAAGGTGGAGAAGGAAAACAGGTTTTGAAGTTCAATGATGTCCCAGAAAAAGCAAGTAGCCTATAAAATGGTGAAACAAAAGTGTTGAATAGTGACCAAATAAAAGAGATTTTGGCTGACTTGTTATGGAGTGCTCCCAAGTGTGCCCCTATTAATGGCAGTGTTAGCAGTCTTTACATATGTTCTATTAAATATATTAAACTTTAACAGCTTCCAGATCCTGCTGTGATGTCCTTTTCTGACATAAGTGGTTATGATAGCCTGTGGTGGGCATTCTGGTAAGATTTGGCTGTGTATGACTGTCTAATAAATCTGACTCTAAATTTCAGGGCTTTAATTTTCTATTGAAGAATATGGAATAGACATGTCAATTACCCCACCTTTATTTTTTTTCTTTCTTTTTGTCCTTTAGCTGAAATGCAGGAAAAGGTGTGTTTCAAGAGTAGTAGTCTTTCTGACAATGAAATTAGATTTTATTTTTTGAAGGTGCTCAGAGGGCTGGAGCACTTCTCCCATGAGAGAATTGGGGTTGTTCAGCCTGGAAAAGAGAAGGCTCCAGGGAAATGTTATAGCAGCCTTGTGGTCCCTGAAGGAGGCCCACAAGAAAGCTGGAGATGGACTTTTTACAAGGGCAGGTAGTGATAGGACAAGGGGGAAAGGGTTCAAACTGACAGAGGGTAGATTTAGATTAAATATTAGGAAGAAAATATTCACTGTGAGGGCAGTGAGGCACTGGCAAAGGTTACCCAGAGAAGTTGTGGATGTCCCATCCCTGAAAGTGTTCAAAGCCAGGTTGGATGGTGCTCTGAGCAACCTGGCCTAGTGGAAGGTGTCCCTGCCCATGGCATGGGCTTGGAATGTGATGATCTTTAAAGTCCCTTCCAGCCTAAGTTATTCTATGAATATTTTTTCAAGGTACGGCTCACCTGCAGCTTTCATAGGGTCCAGTAAGGGCTGGAAATGTCCAGCAACTCTGAAACACCAACACAATCAAAGCACTAGAAGCCAAGCAAATGCCCCAAGACCGCGCGTTAGAGCCGAGCCATGGGCTGGAGCCATCCTGCGACTCCAGATCCCACGCGGTGGAAGCGGCTCCTTAACAATCCCGGTGTTCAGATCCAGGGAAATGATTGATTTGGGAAGTGGAGCCGGGATCGCCCTTGCGCTCCTGCCCACGGAGGCAGCCGAGCCCATGTCGTCAGCTTGTAGCTCCGACACTTCCTTCGTCTCCCACCGCCGCCCTCTGCAGGCGCCGTGCCGGGATGCAAAAGGCGACCATCGCGGCCCGCTCTTTCCGGAATCCCCCAGCTCGGTCAGGGGAGAGACAACATTAAAAAAGAAAGAAAAAAACTAAGCACGGAAAATTACAAAGGCCCCAGCGAGGATCGAACTCGCGACCCCTGGTTTACAAGACCAGTGCTCTAACCACTGAGCTATGGAGCCACGTATTAAGTTTGGCCCTTCCTATAGTTCATGTCTCTGTACGGGACAGCTTCCCCGGCGGTGCCGCCTCCGGGCCACCTCTGCAGCGTTACCCGAAGATGACGGGGAGCCCTTCCCGTGTTGATGAGGGGGCGGGCGCACCTGCCGCGGACTGAGGGTGGACGTGCCTTGGAGAGGGGAGTTTCGGTGGCACAGGGGAGAATTGCTCCCAGGAGTGCTCCCGCTTCTCCCGGGCATCCCCCACGCTGAGAGGGAGGGAGCAGCCGCTGCCTGAGTCAAGGTTTTTGGGAGGTGAGACTGCACGCCTGGTTTTGTGCGGAGTGGGGAGACAGTCACTTTAAGCAGATGATAGCTCCGTGTTGTAATTCTTCTCAGCTTTTGTGAAATCACTGTTGCACAAAAACTGGTTTAACTCTTGAAGATAAACCACACGTCTCGTTTGACTGGGGTATGAACCTGACAGCAAGACAGGAAGTGTGAAGCCTTCATTTTTTTTGATTTTTACTATCGAAGTTTGAAGGCATTTGAGGATTTTTCTCTTTTTCTTTGCATAAAAGAACCAGTCTGTCACATACTCCATGTGACAGCTTAGGTGAAGGTGAGAAGGTGAGCTGTGCAACGGAAGTGGAGACTATAAATAAGACTGTGGAGTTATAAATCCAGCAGCTCTGCTGTACACCAGTCACGTTCTAGAAAAGCAGACATGATTTGCTGGGTGCAAGCCTCAAGCTGTGACCGAAAGTACAGCTCCTTGAAATGAGAATAGACAGAAAAAACTTCATTAAGGAGCTAAAGACCTTTAATCCATCCCACACTCCACAAATCATGAACTAGGTCAATTTCCTCTTTTTTTTTTTTTTTTTTTTTTTTCCTTGAGTTTTATTTCACCTTCTCTTTAGAAATGGATATGACCTCTGTGGGCAAACTAGATCAGTTCTGGTGAACCCTGTCTTGTTGTTTATGTAAAGCACTAAAATTACTTTGAAATATCTGCTTTTGACCTCTAATGTGGCAGCTGATAAATTAATGAAGTTTCACATTTCCTTGGATGCTTTTTTCCCCCTTTCCTTTGAAGATAGTGACTCTTCAGAGGGAATACAGCTCTTTCAAAGAGGGCTAAAATGTCTGTAGTGAGTGTTCTGCTAATGCCTCAGGGAACTGGAGTATAAACATAGATTGTTTTATAACCTTCAAGTAGGCAGAAGCAGAAATGTCTTACCCTTCTCATGCTACCTTCATCATCTTAACACAGCTGAGCAGCAGGGTAAGATGTATTCTGAGAACAGAACAGCGTTGAAATAAGTTTTCTGTGATAACATGGCTACCTGCCACTACTGAGCTTTTAAACTTAGGTGCAGATCTGAAACTGTTGTGATTGCCCTTCTTCCAGATGCCTTTTGCTGCCTGCTGAGAGCTCCCTACAAGGTGGGCTGCACTTCAAGGGCTGTGTCAGAGAGTGTTTCTTAGTCAGCCTGGGTGGGATTCAGGAGGTGTGGTGGTGGTATTACGCTATCAGTAAGCCCCTTGGCTTGTCTTTGTAATGAAAATGAGGAAATTAGACAATTCTGGGATGTAATTCATCTCACCTGAAGGTAAACCTCTACAATTCTGTTCCCGGGTCACATCTCACAGTAACCATTTTGGGGAATACACCTCTCATGGGGGCACTGGCACTGTGCCAGTGTCAATCCATGACACCCCTGCACCAAAATTCTAAAATCTATATTTCACCCCGTAAATACACCATTCAAACCCTAAGGTCTCTCATTTCCTCATATATAGATGACTCATCTCTAGAAGGATCAAAGTCAAGCCACCACACACTTTTGGCAACATTCCAAGGCCTCCGAGCCCCCCAAGGGTTCTCTCGGTGACTCTGGACATCCGGAGTGATGTGTTGAGTTCCCACACAAAAGTCATCCGAGTCATGGTCTAGAGGTACCTGTTCCTCAGCTGGCTGTGAAGAGAGTCAATGCAGCCTTCACAGGAACTTCCCCAGCCTCCTCATTATAAATGGTAATTTAGTGGAAATACCACAGCAGGTTATTTCTTCCTATTTGTAAAATCTCGTTTTAGCTCCTGTTTTGTATCCAGTGTTTCAAAGTGGATCATTCCTGTGGAATATGAAAAGCAATTATTTTTCTAAGGATTGATTGGGTCAAAACTGCAGAACTACATCTAAAGAAGACTCTATGATTCTTTCTGCAGCTAGACCCACACGTATGTGAGAATTAAGCATTTAAGCAATAAAATGCTTCTAGTCTGCTGTTCATGACTGTTGAAAGCCACTAGGTGGAACCTAAGGACTGCATCAAAAGATTGGGGAAATAATTTTAACAGACTTCAAATGCTGAAAAGCGTGAATTTTTACCGTGCAGGTTTTTAAGAAGGATCTGTAGGATGACTAATCTTTAAAGGTGTGCCAGACATCTAAAGATGGACATTTATATATGCTCTTTAAAATTTCTTCTCTAGGCCCAGACCGAGCACCAAGCTAGAAAATAGGGTGGTTAGTGTAAGAAAAGATCTTGCTCAGTGTGGAGCAAGGCTGTTATTAAAAATGGATTTATTTATTCCTGATTAGCGTCCTGATTGTCCCTAACAGCCCCACTGGACAAGTCAGTGTTTCACCCTGTGTAAATCTGGTGTCAGCCCACAGGTGTCACCTGTGCTGCTGTGAGTTTTTGCCCGTCTCATTAAGCACAGTGAGCTAATCCCAAGCACATTACATGATCTTACTGCCATATCTTGCATTCAGGGGAAACTAAAGGAATGACTCTTCAGACAGCTGGTCCAAGGAAATTCATGCAAATCCTTGGAAATTCTCTTACACTGCTGTATTCCCTTTTCCAAACTCCTTTGTGTGGATTGCCACCCAGTTCCCTGCTGTGTTCAGTTTCTGGTGTTTCACAGGGTTTGGTTCTTTGCTGCACAAAGCAGCTTTGGGCTGCAGTAGTATAAAATAAATAGCAGCCAGTGTTTCCTCTGCAGACCTGGTGTGCCTCCTGACAGGTTTCAGGCTTGCCCACCTTTGTCCTCCACACATCTGACTCTGTCCTGAGGGAAGGTTTGTGCACCTAGGATAATCTCAGCAGAGGTACAGATCAGCAAAACTGTCATGCTTGCCTTTCCTTGTTAACCTCCGGGAGAAAGGAATTGCAGCATAGCTTCAGTCTTCATGTAAAATGGGACATTCTGTGGGTTTTAATTGTTTGACAGGTTCAGCACTGTTGGTTTTCTTTCTTAAAGAAACTGTAGTAATCTAAAGGTGTCTGAGTTTAATAAAATTCATTTTAGTTGGCAAGTGCTGGTGGATTACTTTATCTTGTGCAAATACAAGGGTTTTTTTTGAATAAAATATTATCAAAATCAGGGAAACACTTCCTGCTAATTTTGCGTGGCTTTTGGAGGCAGTCCATGGGGTATTTTAGGCATGTAATAATCTCAACATTTTGTTGAAGCCTGCCTTGTTTTCTGAATGTGAACCTTTCCAAGTCCTGTTTGACTGAGATGTGCCTCAGGAAGTGTCATGTGGTTTTGCAGTTTTGACCCAATCAAGCCTTAGAAAAATCATTGCTTTTCACATTATACAGGAATGATCCACTTGTATTTGAAACATTGGATACAAATAATGAGTTAGAATGAGATTGTAAAAACAGAAGAAATAACTTGCTGTGGTATTTCCACTAACAATTACGATGTATGACAGAGGCTGGGGAAGTTGCTGTGGAGGCTCTTTCCAGGTTTTAGACTGTGCATTGCTTGCACCCCTACTTCAAAGTAGCATGAGAGATCCTGGTGTGCACCCTGCCTTTTCCCTGAAACTCTGCTTTCCATGGGAAAGAAGTTCAAACATGCAACAGATGCGATGTCCTTTCAAAAGTAGTTTGGCAGGCTTGATACTCTTTTTTTGGACAAACATCCATTACTACCTAAAAAAAAAAATCTTCTCTTTTAACTGTATTTTTGTGTGGCTTTGAAGAGAGAAAGGGATTGATGTTTCTGTGCAAATTCAGTTTGTTTTGTTCCTCAAAAAGGTGACAGAGCACACAAGAGAAATGTAAAGACAATCAGAATCCCCTCATCTCTATTTGCACGTAATGGGTGTCCATTCATGGGGTTCATGTTGTGGTGTCCATTGCTGGTATTTGAGCATCAGTAGTTTTCTGTGGAGAGGCATCACTATTCCCAGGTCTTATTCCAGGGTAGTAGTTTTGTCTCTGCCTCATTGTGCTCTCCAGTTGTGTTTTTTCTTAATGCAAGGGATCCAAGCAGAAGAGATGTTGTCTTCGAATGCTTTATGATTTGATCTTCCTGGAACTAGAAAGGAGTAATTGAATTTTCTTTGCTTCAGGGTTATTTCTCTGATCCAGACCAGATTTGAAGCTATTTATTATAACAACTTCACACACCATATCCAGTAGCACTTAGCTGCCACACTGCACCCAGTGGTGGAGATGACAAAGCATCTATTACAGGCAAAAGAGTGTGGAAAGTTTGATAGGAAGCAGCTTTTCATCAAATAAGATAAAATAAAAATATAAACAACTCAAAAGTAGTGAAAGAGCAAAGTATATTTTATTATAGTTTTAGAAAAAGAAAATTCTTGTATTTGAAATAGAAAGATGCATAGTTTTTAGATTTAATGGGGAAGAAAAAAGCAGAAAATAGCTGTCCCAGACCTGTCCATGTGCTGGTCAGTCTGTCACTACATGTGTATTTATGTCTGAATATTACATGTATGTACACATGTAAACATGTGCTGTTGAGCAGACTGTAAACAGTGTTCTCCCCCTCTGGAGATCACAGCCTGAAGGTCTCTGCTCAATTGTTGGTTTCCAAAAAGTGCAGGAATGTAAGGACCATGCCTGAGGCTTTAAATCCTCTTAGGTTTGTTTAAAGTCACCTGGA